TCTCAAAGCAAACAAATCGAAACTTGACAAGAAATTGCCATTCAAGGACTCGGGGACAGTGTCACGTAGATTAGTAATTAATACTGCCTGTTTCAAACTTGTGGCTGATCAGCACCACCTCTATTAGGCAATCCAGTCACGCTCACCTTTGCTTTTCCATTCGGTACTTTCCGCGTTTCGCCAGTTTCTTTTTCTTCAGCAGAACATTCATTTACAGTGCAATTATTTTTGATTTTTAAATCATTTTTATGGACACATATTTTTTAGAATGCCTGACTGACAATAAAGGAACTGTGTTGATACTGATAGTGTTTTGCCTTGCCTTTTTTTTACTGCATCTTCCCATGACATCATGATTTTCCTGCTCTCTTTTTGCTATTGGACTTTACTTTATGGCTGTACAAACCTGTGACATTACTCACAGCATTCATTGTTCTATCCCTTTCTTTTCCTTTTTTGACAATCTTATCCTGTACCTACGCAGGATTTGTCAGCATACATTCCTTCCTTCATGTTCTTTCTCATTCTTTTTACACAGCTATACTGTGCATAGCCTACTTTTCTTTTACTATATAAACCCCTGTATTTTACCTTGTAAAAAAACAAGAACTCTTCTTCTCTAATTTCAAGTTCACTACTCTGCTACTTGTGATCCAGTGTGGTCACAACACTTCCCACTTCTACCACTGTTAACTGCTGTCATCGTCACTCGTCACTTTTTGAAAGTGATTGTCATCCCCTTCAATTAGAGTCCTTCTGAGCACTACAGTTTGTGCATCAGGAGCCTGCTATCACTGGGAACCTCATCATATTGTCGTTCTCAAACCTACCTTGTGCTACGATTAGCAAGGTAGTGCTCATCTATACTGGTCACTAAGCCCCTATCTTCTATAAATTCAACTATCCCTCCTCCTCAAAGCCCACACCCATACACCTCTGGGTTTTACTTTGAAGGATCTTTATACGTACCACCCCACGAACAACCAGACCACTCCACTGTTCTAGGAGGCAAAGCCCATAAACAAGTTCTGTGGAATCTGGGAGGATTGTGTGTTAGTTTGTTTTTGTGTGTGGTTTTCTAACAACAGTTCTCATCAAAACCTGTGTTCCGGATCAAGTTTGATCAAAACGGAAACATTGAGAGATACAAACTCCGGATTTTTGGACGAGGTTTTACTCAAAGGGAGGGGATTGATTACCAGGAGGTTTTTGCTCTGGTTGTAAACTTAGAGTCAATGAAAATTATTCTAGCCCTGGCAGCAAAGTACAACCTAGAACTTGATCAAATAGACGTATCCACAGCTTATCTCAATGGAGAACTTGAAGAAGAACTGTACATGCTTCCTCCAGGGGGTGTTTCTATCCAACCTGGATACTGCTGGAGCTTGAAGGCATCCATTTACAGATTAAAACAAGCTGGTCATACATGGAACAAAACTTTTGATTGCAAGCTCCAGGAGCTTGGTTTCACAAGACTAAATGCAGAAACATGTCTCTATGTATTCCGGGACAACAAACAAATATGCTTTGTTGTTGTCTATGTGGATGACCTCCTCAAAAGCCAAACTTGAATCCATATTCAAAATGTGGGATCTTGGAGAAGCAAAATACATCCTTGGAATAGAACTCTAGTGTGATTGTTCAAACAAAACAATCTCCCTATTGCAACACCAATACATTGACACAGTCCTGGAGCATACTGGAATGAAGAACTGCAAAACAGTATGGACACCAATGGCCCATGGATCAAAACTCCTTGCAAATGCTCCAGGGGAAGATATTGTGCAACACAAGATGCATATTGAAGGGTGTCAAGTGTCATACCTCTCAATTGTAGGCTCCCTCATGTATACCATGCTGGCAACCCACTCAGATATTGTCTATGTTGTTGGAATACTAAGCAGACACAGCTTAGCTCCAAGGAGCCACCACTGAGAAGCTGCCAAACATGTCCTCCGATATCTGAAAGCAACCAGGGACATGGAACTACATTATGATGGCGCAGATGTCTCCATGGACATGGATTTCCATGCATATTCGGATGCAGATTGGTCTGGAGACCCAGACACATCTTGATCAACATCAGGCTTTGTTTTTATCACTATCTGAGGAACAATCTCCTGGATAAGCAAAAGACAAAGCATAGTAGCTTTATCCTCCACAGAGTCGGAATACATTGGATTGAGCAATGCTGGATAAGACATTGCATGGCTTCGAAAATTTTTTGAAGAAATTGAACATGCTCAAAATGGACCTACAACATTGCACTGTGACAATTAAGCAGCTATCATTCTTACATGAGATCCGCAGTTCCATGCTTGCACAAAACATATTCAACAGAAATATCATTTCATCCAAGATGACTTAGTATTAAAGGGAGAAGCAGTAATCAGATATGTTCCTACAGGAGATATGGTTGCTGGTATTCTCACTAAACCCCTCACTCACAAAAAACACTGGAAGTTCTCTAAAGCTATGGGATTACAGTTGCACTCGACTGGGAGTGACAAAACTGGATAAACCTGGTCTCTGCTAAAGCAGCCATTATTCTCCATGGAGCATAGCCACCACTCCATGGAGTTGCCATTGTTCTCCTAGGAGTTATTATATCTTAGCGAGTAGCACCTCCGACTATAAGTAGTAGGGGGTTTAGTATAGCAATACCTCAGTCATTTCTATAGCCTCTTGGGCAGCAGCTGAGTTTCACTTACCACCCCAGAAACAAACTGAGCACCCACCATTCTAGGAGGCATAGCCCATAAACAAGTACCATGGAAAAAAAGAGGATTGTTTTGTTAGCTTGTTTTTGTGTGTCATTTTTTCTAGCAGGTAGTCTTTGTCATCAACACTGCCTGAACTGCCCATCTGAACCTTGCCTGTCTGAACTGTCTTGACCTCCATGGAGAGGGTTTTGCTGTCTGTAGCACCCAACTGAACCATCTGAACCTCCTTGGAGAGACTTCTGTTGTCTGAACATTTTTTGAGTACAAGCTGTAATTTAAGTATCAAATAGCTAGGGTTCTGTCCAGTGATTCTCAGTTCTGAACTATTTGCCCCCAACCAAACTTTGGCATCCCTACTTTTGGAGCTCAAGTGTGTAGTGTCAGTCTGTTGTTCTTGCTACTGGTAAGCTATTCACTAGATCCTTTTACAGTTATATTCTCTATACTCTTTTCTATGTCTGACAACTTTCTAGCTACCTGTACGGTGATAATTGAGCCTGTGGAGGCCCATGTGCATATCTCTTACCAGTTGCATGCAGGGTCCAAAGATAGTATTGTCGCTGCCGCGTGTGCCGCGTGTTCGCAGTCCGCGCCCATGCCGAAGCCGGCTGAGCGCCTTGAGCGCTCCATAAGAACGGCAGTAGCCGGGCTTTGAGAGCCATTAAAACAAGCTCATGTCAATTGCTTAACACTAGCCGAGTTTTGTCTCTCACCTGAGTCACCTCTGATCCACTACTCACAAAAAGTCAAAATATCGTGCAAAGTGCCACGTCCCATATATACCAGGTCTTAACACCGGTTCTTCTGGGCTTCCGGTTTTACAACAACAAAAACCAGTACTGCAGCTGAATCTCTCAGTGCAGGTCGTTCGTTGCTGACCAACTCGCACGCGTTCATCTTGTCAGCAGCATGGGAGTTCATCTGTGCGGCAACAATGGCCCTTTCGACTTTTCGGATCCATGCATTCGTGCATCATGGAGCTCTCTTTTTCCTGCAGCCTTAGTATTTGCCCTATGCGTCTTCTCCATCCCGATTCCGAGTCGAATCCGCAAGCTCATTCAGAGCTTGTGCGCGCCGGTGGAGCCTTACTTGACTCTTCACGAAGCAGAAGCCCTAGACACTGCTGCTGCGACTGACAGTGCTGCCACTACTCCTGAAGATGTGGTTGAAGTTCAGAATACAGTTCCCCTTTGGCGCACTTTGGTTCTGGCATGTGTAGCTCTTCTCCAGGCGCTCTTGTGGGTGGGCATAGGTTCCTACGCTGTGCTAACCGACAAGACGCATATCTGGACTGGTATCAGTTCCTTTCTCGTCGCGGTTTCTTGGTTATATGCGTCCTGTAGACCCGTCTTCTCGCCGAAAGCAACCGTGCCGTTTGACCTTTTCGTCCTCTACATCATCCACCTCATTTCAGGCGTTTTGTTATTAGGAGGTGTTCTATACGAACACAGATTATTCGGTGTTCCATTGCCCTCAAAATTGGCATTGACAGGTCTTGTGCTCAACTTGGTCGCTGTTTTCGTGGTATTAGTAACGGTCTTGAAGATGCCTTTCAATGTACCTAGCAATCGTGTCAAGAAAGAAGACATTGTAAGCAACTTTAACTTTAATTCCTTCTTCCTTCATTTTTTTTAAACTTAATGTGTGTTTCAGGGTTCAACTGTTTCACCTGAGGATTACACGTCTCTCTGGGGTTGGATCACCTTCTTCTGGGTGTATCCTCTCATAAAATCAGTATGTTCCCAGTGTTGTATTTTGGAAACATTATTTGAGAGATCATCTTTTGCAGGGCACATACACCACGTTGAACGAAGATGATGTTTGGAATCTCAGTCCGACTATGCAATCTCGACCAGTGTTTATCAAGTTCAACACTATACAGTTAGTAAAGTTTGCCGTATATCATCTTCAAGTAGACTAACATTGTGTCTCTAAAGTCGTAAAACCCTTCTCCGTCGGCTATGGGCATCTAACTCGTTGGATTTAATGTCAGTCTCATTTCAATCTCATGCATGATAGCACGAAACTGATTATCTCCATGCAGTCTTGATTTCTGTCTAACATTCGTTAGTGTGGTCTTTAATTATGCCGGTCCATTTTTCCTAAGGTAAGCCTTGCAATTTTTCTTTTTCTTCATAGTAGCTAATACGTATATCTTTGTGGAGACGAATCCTCGATGCTATTGATAATCCTTCACCAGAAAACCGCTCGAGAGCATATATCTACGCGTTCCTTGCATTTTTGTGCACGGTTATGAAGGTATACTGGTACCTATTAATATATTATTACCTTTTAACCATTTAACTTGTAGGCTCAAGCGGACGTACAACATCTCTGGTTTGGTAGACGCGCTGCAACTCGGACACGCGTGGAATTGATGGCAGCTATCTACGACAAAGCCCTTAAAAGGCGCGATTACTCCGGAATCATTGATAAGGACAAGGTGAATGAAGCTGCGGATAAGAAGGCGCAGGCAGCTGGTGCTCCCGCTGGGAAGCCCAGAGCCAATGCGGATGACCCCAAGGCAGGCGCTGATGTTGGGAAAATCGTAAATCTGATGGCTGTAGATGCAAATAGGGTGTGTGCCTGCGTCTTGCGAACCATGATATCTATTAATGTAACATTCGATGAAGATCGCTATGATGATTTCTGGTTCATATTTCATATATGGAGGTATAGTATTCGCTAATCATACGTTTGCAAATCATTGATGTCGTTGATTTCCAGCTCCTTTTGAAATTCTCATTGCTAGCGTGTTCCTTTACGAGTGCGTGCAGTTTGTGTGCTGTCTATTACATCGGCTTACCTATACTGTCCAGTCTTCTTGGCGTATCTGCTTTCGCTGGATTTGTTGTTCTTCTAGCGGGTTGGCCTCTAAACAGTTTCATCGCCAGACGCAGCATTCGAATTCAGAAAGGCGTTTCTGCCGCTCGTGACAAGCGCATGGCCGTGTTGAATGAGCTAATAGGGGCTGTAAGTTTTCGCCGAAAATTTGGGATCACGCACCTAACACACTTATAGGTTAAGTTTATCAAGTTCTTTGCTTGGGAAGAAAGATGGATTCAGCGCGCTATGGAAGCTCGTGGTTTTGAGATGGGATGGATGGTGAAAGGTAGTTGTCGATTTCCTCGAGCATCAAATATCGATTGACCGCATATATGACAACAGCTCGAATCAATTCTGTCATGTTCTCGTCACTTTGGACATGTGCGCCTATCTTGGTATCATTAATCTCGTTCTTCACGTATGTCTATCGAGGAGGACAGCTTACGGTGGCTATTGCGTTTACTGTAAGTGTGTCCTTGTTTTGGCAATATCCACTATTTACCGCCTACCGTTTTGCAGTCCATCGCTTTGTTCAATATGATCCGGTAAGTTCTAGAAAGTGTTTTGTAGAAGTGTTAACTTACATGGCTATTCATCTAGGGCACCTTTGAATGTTGTACCAGCTTGGATCATTCAAATTCTCCAGGTAGGGTATTGAACTGTTTCAGGGGTTTACTCTGTATCTCAACCCTTCCTCTCAGACTGGAGTCGCTTTGAATCGCATAGCTATGTACCTTGGAGAAGATGAAGTTTCCGAACAAGTGTCTACCATCAAAAAGAGTCGTTCTACGCCTGCAGAGTGTGATGAGTCCGAAGGACTTGCTATAGAAAGTGGTTCTTTTAAGTGGAACGAAGTTGAAGAGCTGGAAGAAAAAGATACGCAACCAACTGATAATGGAAAATCGAAGGCTCTATCCCCGACCCGAAGTGATGGCGATGAAACGGATACTGCTGTTGATAGTGTGTCAGTAACTGGCACCACGGAAGACCACAGATTCGAATTGAGAGAGATATCAGTGCGGTTCCCTGAAAGAGAGCTCACAGTTATTACTGGCCCAACTGCGAGTGGTAAAACTGCACTGCTAGTAAGTTTGACCATTCTTTATGTAAAACATCACTCATCTGCCTGTGCCTGTATCTCAGATGGCTCTGCTTGGAGAGATGACAACTCTTAGCGGCAAGCTTATAATGTCCAAGAATGCTTCCAAAGTCGATGAACATGGTCTTATGCATTCTATATCTTATGCGGCACAGTCTCCGTGGCTCCGGTACCAATCCATAAAAGATAACATTCTCTTTGGGTATCCTTACGACGAAGAGCGGTACAACGCAGTCGTCGAGTGCTGCGCACTGAAGCCTGATTTAGCCATCTTCGAGGATGGAGATGCGACCGAGATTGGTGCAAGGTTTGTGCAATTACATCCAGATTAATCCAAGTATCTCATGGTTTTCCAGGGGTGTGAGTCTATCTGGAGGTCAGAAAGCACGGTGAGTCATGAGCAGACCTTCGTACATGTACACTTACACTACTCTAGGGTTGCACTAGCTCGTGCTGTTTATGCACGGACAAAATATGTTTTATTGGATGACCCCCTCAGCGCAGTGGTAAGTTTGTTTGTTTTTTAGTTTTATTGGGGGCCCCCCTTTTGAAACTCATCGCTTCGCTCTTACAGGATAGTCACACTTCACGTTTTTTGTATGAGAAACTCTTCCGTGGTCCTCTCTTGGCGAATCGCACAGTTGTGAGTAGTGGTACACATCTTCAGAAAATATGTAAATCCTAAACTTGGTTCAGATCCTCGTAACGCACCATGTCGAACTTGTGCTTCCAGGCGCATATTATCTCATTCGCATGCTCGATGGTCGTATCGATTTGCAAGGTACTGTTAAAGATTTACAGGCTCAGGGCTCCCTCGACAGCATCGCCCAAGACTCGTCTACGGCAATCAAGGAGGAGGAACCGGTTGTGGCACAAGAAGCGGTAGTCGAGGCCGAATCCCTTGATGATGCGTCCCCTCAGGCTGCTGAAGTGACGAAAAAGCCTCGCAAGCTTATCAAAGACGAACACAGAGAAACAGGAGGTGTTAAATGGTCCATCTATAAAACTTACTTGAAGGCATCGTGAGCTGATTCAAGTTGATATGCAAAAATTGTGAGATTGACTATAGCCTAGCTCGTATTGGACATGGGGCATATTAGGTTTGCTCATTTTTTTGACGCAAGTAAGTTGAATGTATTGAGAAGTTCATGCGGTCCTACTGACACAGGAGTAGTTGCTAGGTGTCACGGAAAAGCTTTGGATTCGGGTATGTAAACTTGTTCAACTACCTCTCTATGGAGTATCTCAGTTTGTTATTCTTAGGAATGGGGTTCAGCCTACGGTACAAGCTCTCAACCAGCGCCCTACGCCTTCTCGTCATTTACACTGACCGAAAATGAAGCTTTGATGGGTGGCATGATCCCTTCCCATGATCATCACCCTTACTCGAACAATATATACCATGTTCAGTCGCCCTCTTCTAGTGTCAACACTTTACCAAGTGCAGGAGAACACCCTCTATTTTACGTTGGAATATATGCTGCCATTGGGCTTGCGACTGCTATCGCAAGCATTACGTCCGTGACTGTGCAATATACTGGAGCACTGAGAGCGTCCCGCATCATTTTCAAGCGTCTTTTGGAAGGAGTTGTTCGTGCTACAATGCGTTGGCACGATGTTACTCCTCAAGGTTATGCGGGTTCATCTGTCAATGTAATATTCGTTGCTAACACGGAATCACTCTCTAGGTCGTATGCTCAATCGTTTTGGAAAGGTAAGCTCTTCGTTTATCAGGTGAAAGTGATCAATCTAACTCATTTGTGCCTCTCTATATAGGATATCGAAACGATTGATGGTTCCCTTGCTGGCTCTCTGCAAGCTGTCAACTCTTCTTTGGCTACTTTTGCAGCTGCGATTTTGACTGTCGCGTAACTAGCCATTCAACTTCCTTCTGCTTTATGACGACTAAATTTGAATGACAGTGTCTTCTTCCCGCTGTTCCTCATCCCAGCATTTGCTATCGGATTCTTCTATCGACTACTTGCAATCGGTTATCTTAACACGGGACGAGACCTTAGACGGATGGAATCTAACTCGAGATCACCAATTTTTTCTGGTTTCGGCGAGCTTCTGGAGGGTATTGTGACTGTTCGGGCATTCTCTGCGGAACGCCGTTTCATGGATGACCTGCACCTCAAGATTGATGTTACAACTAAAGTCAGTTATAATCAAAACATCATGATGATTGGGTTAATTGTGAAATTTAGATGTGGTACAATTTCTGGATGACCAATAGATGGTTACTTCTGAACTTCGACACGTTGGGCGCCCTTGCTGTTTTAACTACGACATTGTTTGCGTTGTCCGGTTATGTTCGGGCGGGTACGGCTGGTCTGTGTATCACAAGCGCGATGACTTTCACCAACAGTGTGTACTGGGCATGTCGTTTCTGGACTGCTCTCGAACTCGATCTAAAGTGCGATTTGTTCATCATGCTTTATGAGCCCCTTCTGATCGTATTTTTACGTGCCTAGCTCTGTGGAGCGAGTCGTAGAGTACTTAGACCTTCCACAAGAACCCCCGGCTATCATCGAGTCCAGTCGTCCACCTGCTTATTGGCCATCTAGCTCGAGTCAAAGTGCTCTTATCAGAGTAGAAGACCTTGTTATTAAATATGCACCTGAGTTACCTCCTGTCCTCCATGGAGTGTCGTTCACCCTGAATGCGAAAGAACGGATTGGCCTTCTCGGGAGGACTGGTAAGTTGCTTCTGCTTAGCAATGCTCTAGATACTGAACCCACCCAGGGAGTGGTAAATCTACTTTGGCCATGAGCATATTACGATTCGTACGCCCTTTGATACTTTTTACGACTCTTTAATTCATGTTGTTTCTAGGTTGATCCTGTTAGCGGGCGCATCCTCATCGATGGCATTGACATCTCTAAAATCGGTATTCACGATTTGCGTTCCCGTCTGGTGCGCTTCATTTGTTTATATTTTATTGGTCGATTTCTCACTTGTATTTCAGACTTTCATCCCTCAGGTGCATCTTCTTTGATATTGACTGTGATATCGTGCTAATCTTGTGGTAGGATGCAACTCTCTTCTCGGGCACTTTACGGGACAATCTGGATCCTTTTGGTGAGCGTGGCCTGCAATCATCTGTCGCAAAACTAACGAATAGGCTCTCAGGTGAACACGAAGACAGTGAATGTCTGGATGTCCTTTACCGCGTACAAATGATAAATGAGAGTGCTTACCAATCGCAAAGAACATCGCGTGCTCCCTCTCGAACTTCATCTGCTCAAGGAAATGAATTTGACGATGCAGCATCTTCTCTCGCTTCCACGACCGTCACTGACTTGGAATCCAAGACCACTGTTAACTTAGACACTCAAGTGTCTGCTGGTGGCACCAACTTTTCACAGGGGCAAAGGCAGCTGATTGCAATGGCCCGTGCACTTCTGCGAAGGAGCTCTATAATTGTCTTAGATGAAGCAACGAGCAGCATTGACTTTGCTACTGATGCTAAAATCCAAGCTACTATTCGCGAAGAGTTCACCGAGTCGTTACTACTTACCGGTACGCAACCCCTGAAATCTAAAGCATACCTTGTAACTGACGGTGTCTTTATCTTAACAGTTGCTCACCGATTGCGCACTGTGATTGATTATGATCGCCTTATTGTGCTCGATAAAGGCCAAGTAAGGCAGTCCATTTTCTCTTTCGTTGAGCCAATCTTAGTAAAATATGACTTATTCAAGGTCGCCGAGTTCGATACACCCCTTAATCTGATCCAGAAACAGGATGGAATATTCAGAAATATGTGTTTGAAAAGTGGTACCTTTGCTGAACTCGAAGCTGCAGCTAAGACGGCCGGGAAAAAGCGAGTGTAGACTATTGGCACCAAAAGATAGATGCAGTGAAAGAAGGTAATGGTTCGTTCGTATTGGGTTTTATATCGCTTTCTGTCATATACATATTTTGCAACAATCTCGAATTTTATATATATCAACCTGGTACGTACAAACAAGATACGATGAACGTTCGAGTACTGCTGGGGAAAACGGTTGAAATTATAAGTGGTATATGTGTTACCAAGGGTCAGTTAATTATAAAAGGAATCAGTCCAAATGTACCAAACAAATGGATAAGAAGTTAAGAAAGCGAGTCAACGACAAGATTCACAAACAAAACAAAACCAACAGCACATCCCGATGCCATGACTAGGCCACCTATCCATGCTTTCCTTGTTGAGTCTAAGGCGCCAATTGCAGGATACACGACCGAATACGCTGATTTTCCTCGGCCAAAGACACTTGCATTACAGAAACAAGTGTCGAAGACGTTGCTGAACTGGAACACGCATACCGCAATTATTCCAATACCGTTAATCGTCGCCATGGCCTTTCCAAGCCAACATAAACTTTCAGAAAGGAAAAGTGCAACACGAGAGGAACCAGCTTTAGGTCGATGAGAAGCGTAATGAGCCAGGACACTAGAGGCGACCATTATCATCCATATGAGTGTTGAAATAATCCCATAAGTTAAATAAGCTAATGACCGACATCCTAAACCCTACACAACATGGAAAGAGGGGTCAGCTGCATATTCAAATGACTTGTAGTGAAAGTGAAGCGTACTGTAGTAGGTGTGTACAACACGCCAAGCAAAGCAGCGCCGGTGGTTCCCCATTGCAAAAGCAGTGCCATGAGAGACGCAACGCACATCCGCGCAAATATACCGGACCCCCACCTGCTCCGAACAGTATCTGTGGGCGCAAGACAGTATGAATCGACTGCATCAGGGGGGCCCATCCGGTTGGCTAGATGTATATCATCGCTTTTTCCATTGTCCTGCCACTCAGCGTTCGGATCAATAGGTCTGTGTGAACCTGCATTCCTCGAAGCCATGCAGAATGCATCACAAACCTCCTCCGCAGATTGCGACCACGAAATAGCTCGCGCATAATTGAAGATCGGTGGGCTGCGGTTTTCATCAGCGAAGAAAAGAGTGTTGTCATATACAGCGTCTATTGAGACGGCACGTCGTCGACTCCTCGAGGATGCTTTAACCGCGCCGTAACTACTTGCGACAAACGCCATTGCGTTTGCCCGGCCTAGGATCTTACTAATACGGCTGTAATCACATTTGGGCGAAAGCTGAAGCCATCCGATGACAATGGACAACAGCCATAGCCAGACAGAACCGACGGCTTGACCATTAGAGTTGATGTTAGCGTCGAGGTTTTCAAGAGAGTCGACGACGGTAAACAGATACGCGATGACAACCCAAATGATAGACGTTGCAGCCGAAAGTGACCATGTATGGGTATAGTCAATGAGCTGGGCAAGCTCGCTCCACCACTCGTCATTCTCGGGAAGTACGACGAGGGAAGCTAGCAGTGAATCCTCTGACGTTACACGTAATGGGGCTTGTTGGAGACTGATGAGTATGCGGACCGCAAAATCTGCGTTAGGATAATCGATAACCTCGAATCTGCGGATGATCCATCGTGAATTGAGGACGGTTATAATGAGGGAGTAACCAGCCAACGTAGGGGAGCCTACAGTGAGAAACATGGATGTCAAATTATCTAGTCGGTGTTTTGCCCCAAAAGGCAACTGCGAGATGAGGGCCAGATACGGGAGCAGCCATCCACTAAACTGCTGCGAGAAGTTTGTCCAAGAAAATGGCTCTTGGGAAGTCCCACAGTAAGCCTTGCATAATCCATATGACATAGCAATTGACTCGTTTGGTGAGGTGGGCTTTCCAGAGCCATCGAGAAGTCCAGATAGTATTGATGTATTGCATTCCTGTCCATCAACTGTCGAGTTACACAGGGATTGTAAACCAGACAGACACTCCTGGTAGTTGACCGCAGAAACACGTTGTGAAAGAGTCGCAATGAAAAAAGCGATTACCAAGACTGATAAAAGGATGTTTCTGAATTGTTTGTTTGAGAGAGAATGGGGAGGACATACTTGTGAACATAAATCTCACGAGCTGCATCTTGATGCTGTTAGAATAGGAAATTGTGTGTCACATTCAATCGCAGAATTAAGAAAAACGCTGGAAAACTTGCACAAAGGTGCACTAGCGAGATGCTTGTTGGTACTAGATGGGCGATGAGCATTAGCAATGGTCCACCTAGACGTTACACTCATTTAAGACCAATTGACAGGGGGCTATGCATGTACTGACGTTGCAGGGACTAAGAGATAAGAGATAAATAAAAACACCACATACGATAACATGGATTCGTGGACCATATCAGAAGGCTGAGAAGAAACCAGTCCCAAGTTGGTTATTCAGGTAGCTCCCCAATCAGCATCACGTTCCCTCTTTGGAAAACATTTGGAAATTGCGCAGAATGCCACAGGGCGCGGACGCTCAAATAAATGACATCTCTATAAGGGCTCATTTGTGGTCGGTCCCGATCAAAATTGTCGCGGTTCAAACCTGTAGGAGTAGCTGCACAGTCTAGGTGGGAATCTGCATCTACGATCCCGCAGTGACCATCGATTCGGCAGAGGGCATGGCGTGTACACCTAGTGTCGTAATGTAATCGACATTCTCGTTACTTGAAATATCAGTGAGGCTGTGAACAATCAAGCTCTTGGCTCTTTGCTTAATGTAGAATAAAAGGAGGCAAACCAGCTTTAGTTCGGAGCCCGTTCTAGATGGTTTGTGGGAGGATTACCGAGGAACCTATGCCACCATCGCCCAACGGATTGTTCGCATATAGCATGAATTGATCGGCATCAAAATCGAATGATATCGTTATTGCATTCTGATGTTACTGCGGTGAATAGGCATAATCGAAGACTGGACTTCAAGGGTGAATGTTTGCATAGAAATCAGGGATGAGAGATACTACCCAAATAGTAAAGAAAGATAGGGATAGGGAGCTCACCCATTGAATTGCATGGTGTCTACAGAGCCAAATCAACTTGGAATCGGGCCTGCAAACAGAAAGCTGAAAGAAATGTGCACACATCCATCAGACCTGTCAAATGCTGAACAATCATGCCACAAGGACAACGTAGTGGCGCAAATTCTATTACTATCATCTGATCACTGCCGCCTTTGTCAAAGACGATACCCCGCTAGTACATCATGTTGATTCCCAGCCAGAACGAGCAGTGTATGAAGTAAAGTTATGGAGTGCCAAGAACATGGAGGGAAGTTTATAGAAAGTCATGCTCGCCTATATAAGGACGTTGGGCCATCAATTTTGTAAAATGCAAATTTGAGTCTTGGAAGATCAAGATCGCGGAAGTTTGATAGGTTCACAAAAATCGCCGCTTAAATTATGGCTTTACCTTTACTGTACTTTGTGAATGTGAAGATTATTCACGTCTTTTTTTTTCAGCCCTGTTCGCTCTCGAGTTGGCCATGCAATTCTAGCACCATAAGGTGAGGAGGAATGATATATTCAAAATCTAGATGCACGACCATAGGCCAGATATCATTCTTTAGATTGCTTCCAAGTTGTGGAACCGGACACCAGCTGATGAGTTGAACCAAATTTATTCAATAGCGGACGGTTCACTGCGCTATTTCAAGCACAAGGCAGGTATAGCATACAACACAATATTGCAATGCCATTGTACACTCCTTGATTAGGCTGAGATTCTGCTGGCATTCCACTGAGAACTCGCACCAAGGAATGTTACTACCACGAATACACAAACCCAACTATCTCATCGGTGCACTGTATCTTTATCATATTTTGATGGAACAGAGCTGATGATTAAGGCGGGTCGTTCGAGAATCGAGATGGAGCCTATCGATCTTCAATGTTATCTCCGTGAGTGAAAGGTTGAATAACAAGATTTCCTACTGTGGGCTTTATAGTATGCTGAGTGCAAGCTGCTGTGCAATATTGACTAGTGTATCCATCTGGAAATCAGGCTGTGATGCTGAGTACTTTGTCCCAATAACTGGATGCGGTATTCTTTCCGCCATACAGTGTCTTCGGTGTCTTCGGCCATATAGCGTGGCTGTTGACAATTGCACTAGAATCACAGCTCTAGATATACTTTGAGCTTGATGCGCACAATTCTCCTTCGCAATACCTCAGCAAATTGAAAACTGCACACTTCGGAAAATTGCAATATGTAAAGTTTTGTTGGTATGAGTATATATATATATATGTTAGTCTCCCTTGCTGACCTAATTCAATATATTGATGATAGTCGATCGATATCTTGTAAATAAGGTCTGCTTCAAAATAATGGTGGCGTGCAGAGTGCGCCCCTTCAGTGTCAATACAGCAAAAACACGAACACTATTCAAGCTCCGTTGATTGTCAGCAAACTCAGCACTCAGCGAAAACTCTATGCTAATCACTATGCCTGCCTCATGTTGGGTCAGATGAAACTGACCATTCACACCGGCGTACCTCATCCAGGAGGTCACGTCCGTCTGCCTGGGCAGCCTGCACACTGTCCGAGTGTACAGCTATGGCCTTGATGTTCAAGTTGACCATCTCAGCCGCCTGTTCTGTTTGGTAAGCCCAATTATTTGTCGTGGTTAAGCTACTCACCTGAGTATTTCCCAAGGCAATGAGAGGGGTTACAATTAGTATAACTGGTGTTGTCGGTAAGTCCTCAACTCCATGTACTGGATTTGTGATTAATTCTTGAATTATCAGTAGCAGGCCATAGAAGACAGCCGTTTTGCCACCTCCTGAGCTGGTCGTTCTTGTGAAAGCCATTGGCTTTGTTCAGGTTGTATAGCTGCTATGCCAGCATTAGAATACATGTATCAATGTATCACCAGTATATATTTTTTCGTCTGATTTCACTAAGTCCTTGCTCTATCTACGCAATGCCGAATAGGCCGTTAAGCCGATGTGTGCCGTGCAGTTTTCTCTCTACTTAAAACCACCGAACGGGGGCACCCACCAAATCAGTGTTATATTGGACTAGACTATATATATGTTAGGCCGATCATACTGATATCAAGAAAGGGAGTCGATGATGAGGTTCACAAAGGCAATGAAACCAACGGTGCATCCCAGACCCACGACTAAACCTCCTATCAGTGCCCTCCTCATCATGTCCAGTTGATTTTTCGAAAAAAGAATTACCGTGTAAGCTGACATTCCCCTGGTAAGGATGTTCGAGTTACAAAAACAAGTGTCAAAGGCGTTACTGAGCTGCATTATACACATTGTAATTACCCAGATGCCGTTCAGAATAGCCGTCACTTTCCCAATCCAGCACAGTCCTTCAGAAATGTGGATAGTAATACGGGACGAAGTAGTTTTGGGTCGGTGGGAAGCATAATGAGCAAAAACACCGGAGACGACCAACAGCAGCCATACAAGCGTTGAAACAACTCCGTAAAGGAGGTAACCAAGAGACCGACATCCTAAACCCTATGAACGTGGAGAAGTTAGGATGATGTTCAAGCTAATGATGATAATGAGTGGAGACTTACTGTGGGAGGAGTGTAAATTATACCTGCTAATGCGGCGGCAATAGTTCCCCATTGCAGTAAAAGTGGCATTAGAGAAGAAATACACATCCGAGTAAATATTCCCGGTGCCCATCTGCTTCGAGTCATGTCTATAGGCGCAAGACAGTACGCGCGAACAGCCCTAGGAGAGCCCATGCGATTGGCAGGATCTATCTCGCTTCCATTTTCCGCAACCTGCCACTTACTGTTCGAGTTGACAGGCCTATGTAAACGCGCATTATCTGAAGCCGTGCGGAAAACTTCGAAAACCTCCTCTGCGGACTGTGACCACGAGATGGCTCACGCATAATTGAATACTGGTGGACTGCGGTTTTCATCAGCAAAGAAGAGTGACCCTTGATACAAAACGTCTACGGAAATGGCACGTTGTCGACTTCGTGAGGATGCTTTAACCGCCCCATTGGTGCTTGCGACAAAGGCAATCAAATTTGCACAGCTGAGTGCTTTAGTGACACGAATATGATCGCTTTTTGGAGAGAACAAGCGCCAACCAACAACTACGGACAACAACCATAACCAGACGGAGCTGACTGACTGACCAGCGGTATCGGCTCGTAGATCACTTGCAAAGTATCCTATAGAGTCAATTATGGTGAAGACATAAGCGACGGCAACTCAGATGACAGACATCACAGACGAGATCGACCATGTAGGACGGAAGTCAAGGAGTTGGGTAAGCTCGCTCCACCATTCGTTATTCTCTGGAAGTACGATGAGAGAAGCCAGCAATGAATCCTCGGACGTCACACGTAGAGGGACTTGTTGGAGGTTAATAAGTACGCGGACAGCCAAGTCTTTATTAGGGTAACTGATGGTCTCGAATTTACGGTGGATCCATCGTGAAATGAGGAGTGTCAGAATGAGAGAGTAGATGGCCAGCATAGGCGAACCTATGGTGAGAAGTATGGATGTCAGATTATCTTGTCGGTACCTTGCCCCGAAAGGCAGTTGCGAGGCCAGGGCAAGATATGGGAGGAGCCAGGCACTGAACTCCTGTAAGAAAACTGGCGGAGAAAATGTCTCTCGAAAGGTCCCACAAGATGATTTGCATAATGTATAAGTCATAGAGGACGCCTCGCTGATCGGGACCGGCTGGCCATTGCTATCAAGCCCACCAACGAATTGCGTTGAGTTATACTCGGCCTTCAACTGAGAAAGGCGATCTACGTAGCTGGCTGTGGCAGAAACACGGTGGGATAGAACTGCGACGGACAGAGCACTGATCATTACTGAAAGAGGGTAGGCGTCATCCCTGGCCTGAGAGTGACTGGTGAACAAACTCACTTGTAAGCTTGAAAGACCGCATACTATAACAGTGGAAATGTTTATTTTTTTTCACTTTGAACTTGAATTATTAAAGCTGACTGTTGCTATCTAACTTGCAGAGGCGTACTCCGGAGGAAGTGTCGTGACTGTGATTGGTGAGGGAAAAGGAATACTGCTGACTTATCAATTTTGGGTATTGAAATAAGTAACCGCGAGCTTTACAGCCAGTACTGACTTCGGGCATTTGCTGTAAGTCAAGCAACGCGGTCCTAGACAGCTTTGGACAGGAGGTTCTGACAAGAATCTCCGTAGGATTCCGGGAATGTCTAAGTTTGCCTAGATTGCACAGCACGGAAGGTACGACACTCACTTGGCTCATATGAAACAGGATGGACAGCTTGTGATAAGGAGCTTTCAAGTCAGACTCGCAATATCCAGCATTACGGGTCATTTATAGGAATGGCTGCGCAGATCTTGATGGAACTGTCCAACAGTGGAAAAGACACCCGGACTGGATATCTTGTTATCTCTGGAAACTCATCTCCAAGCCTGAGGCCTGAGGTACGGTGCGGAGGACTCCCGAATAGATTTACTGTCCTCTGCATTAGATCCGACTCACGCTGAGCTAGATGGTTTTCTGATATATGCCACCAGAAAATAGCCTTTGATTCCAGGTAGATAAAGCTGGCGAGAGCATTTGAAGGTTTGCAACCGATGCTGATATGCTGTAACTTTATGCATAGACGTACCACCTTTATGCCAAATGAAGCATGTTAGAGTAAGGTTCACAGGAGCGGCGAGAGTTTTTACAGTACGGTGCCACATTCTCCGACTGAAATCGTCCTTAAATACTATAGTCATCAGTTGTAGTGAACTTGAAATCAAGTTCTCATCTGGTGCCTTTGCCAGTGGATGCTAGTTATCTATTATCATCAGCAAAAGACGTATTTCCCCCAAACCGATTGACTGGCAGCCATTCTTAACGCGACGTTCGTGTGTCTTAATATTTTGAGCTGTCTGTCCTGGCTAGTCTGACTCGTGGATCATTAGATGACACGAGATCATTGACAAGCAGGTTATCTTGAAATCTCACTAGTATTTGATACATCACCGTCCATAAAGGCACAGCATAGCCCTCCAAGTCAGGATAATGTCCAAGGTTAAGTCAGTGCCTCTTTAAGTTCACGTTAATTTCCAGAAGGGCGGTTTCTTCTTGGATGCTTGAACACAGCGCTTTGAGGTTCTGATGGTGATTTTTGAAGTTCTTGGTCGGCTTTGGTTATCACTGGCATCGTGCGCGTATGATCTGTGAGTACAACCTAGTACGGCTCGCATCCTGATCATCAAGACGCAAAAGAAATGCACTAATTGGGTACATAATTGCGTTGGTACAGTGAGGAATTATATGAGAATGATAAGTGTAAGTGAGGTATGTCTGTCTTCAAGATATAGCAGTAATGTGGTATAAGTGTCACAATAGCACGATTATGTGCTGATAAAGATAAATGTAAGTCGTTAATAATTTGAATAAATACGCAGAGGGGTATATGATGATAATGCATCATGTCGAACATTCGTTTAGTTTGAAGGGTCGACTAGCAAGTTCATCAGGCTTATGAATCCAATAGAACATACTGACGCCATGACCAAACCGCCAATCCAGGATCCTCGTATGATACCGAGCTCTTGGGCGGATAAAGTGATGACATCAAACGCGTTCTTTCCGAGTCCGAGGACACTGGAGTTACAATAACAAGTGTCGAAGACATTGCTGAACTGGAACACGCATATGGCGACGATCCATACCGAATTAAAGATGGCGACGAATTTCCCCATCCAGTTCAGCTGCTTGGCACCTAGAGCGGCAAGACGAGCTGAGAGAGACTGTTGGCTGTATGACGAATAATGGACGAGAATACTGGAGGTAACGAGCATTATCCACACGAGTGTCGATAACACCCCGTAAAGGACAAATGACCCAGACCGGCATCCCAAGCCCTGAAAGATAAGTTATTAGAATAACCAGCCTATACAACAATGATGACGAACGCACAATAGTAGGAGTAAACCACACCACTATTATCGCTGCGCCTGTAGTGCCCCATTGCATCACGAGTGAAATTAAAGACGCGATGGCCATCCTAGAGAAAACTCCAGCTGCCCACCTACTTCGAATTGTGTACTGGGGAAGTTGGCAGTATGCGTCCACTGCCTCTGGGGAGCCCACCCGATTATCAGGGTGAATATCATTACCTTTGTCGCCCTCCTGCCACAGCACTCCTGGATCTACTGGCCTGTGGGCACTCGCATTCTTCGATGCCATGTGAAAAGCTGTCAACACCTCCTCTGCTGAGTGGGACCAATGCAGCGACCGAGCGTAATTATAAATAGGTGGGCTTCGGTCTTCATCAGCAGAAGAGAGCGATCCCTCGCTCAAAGCGTCGATCGACACAGCACGCCTGTTAGATATAGCAGACGCTTTCACTACACCATGATCACTGGCTACGAATGCGATCGCATTGGCGCGGGTGATAGCGATGCGCAGGCGTGCCGAATCGCATTTGGGAGAAAGCTGCAACCATCCAATAACGATTGGCAAAAGCCACAACCAGATTGATCCTACTGCTTGGCCATTTGAGTTTATATTATCTGAGACGTTTCCGAGGGAGTCTACAACGGTGAAGATGAAAGCGACGATGACCCAAACGATGGACGTCGCTGCTGAAATAGACCAAGTATGCGTGTAGTCGAGGTAGTCAGCAAGTTCGCACCACCAGTCGTCGTTATGTGGTAAGAGTACGAGAGATGAGAGCAGTGAATCCTCGGAGGCTATACGCAATGGTGCATGCTGAAGACCATTGAGTATACGAACTGCATAGCCCTTATTTGGATAAGAAACGGCCTCAAAGCGACGAGTGACCCATCGTGCATTAAGGACTGTCAGTACGAGGGAGTAGCCAGCAAGGGCGGGTGAGCCAACGGTTAGGAACACAGACATAAGATTGTCAAGTCTGTGCTTCGCACCGAATGGCAGCTGGGATATCAGTGCGAGGTATGGAAGCAGCCATGCACTGAACTGCTGCGAGAAATTGGTCCATGTAAATGGCTCCTGCGCAGTCCCACAAGCGACCCTGCACAATTCGTATGTGATTGCTGTCGCATTTGCCATCGGAACACTCTGCCTATTGTTATCGAGACCTCCATATGTGCTTTGATTGTTCAGTTTCAATTCAGAGATGCAGGTGTTGAAGTTTGTCGCAGCAACTTGTTGTATCAAGGTGTCACAGAACACAACACTGATGAGCACTAATGATCATCAGTGAGCATGATTATCATCAAGATAGGTAACGAAAGCACGAACCGAGAGGCTTCAAACGTAGCATGTTCATCGGCAATGGGTAACAGTGGACGTATAAGGTGAGTGCGCCAGGCTTGTCCTTTCTAGATCGTGATTGAGGGAGAAATGCGAGGGAGACGCTGAATCGTGATCATATTAATCCTATACGTACATCGGGGCACCGCAATCGCCACCCATGGCAGATACACGTTTTTCTGACTGTCTCGACTGCGGAATTCGGGAACGTCTGTAGAACGTTCAATGGAAATAGCGTCTCGTGAGGAGAAGACGACACGGATGGAAAGATACACAAGGCTGGCTATGTCAATATTTACCAGGTTGCACAACGCATAGCCATATCTCCTTCCGATAATGACACGGTTGACACCCCCTCGATGCACTGGGGAGATAGCGACAAGTCCAGACTTTCTCCGCCTTGCAACTGAACCTGACAACCTTGGCAGGGCAAAAAGAGTCCGCGTGCGCAACATGATATATCGCAGGAAGAGCCATACGCGTTCTTGGATGGTTTACTGTCAACCGAGGCCCTCGTTCTCAAGCATAACATGGAGGTTAACCAACATATCGTGATGAGAAATATAATGCTCGTTATCTGGTCTCAGACCAAATTACTAAGATAACCGGTATTGACTTATCGATGAGTTGTCAGTAAACACCGGTTGCAATAAATACCGAAAATGTGTCAAACCGTAGTATATCGCAACGGCCATGGGGTGGGCAGGATCGCAACTGTTCCCTGTATCGCTGAATTTCAGGATCTCCAGTCCTTCTAGTCTTCTACGTATCTAGATATGAAGGCTACTAAGTACATTAGCGACAATGATTATGATAAAAGAGCATTCGCGTCAAACGAGGCCATTGCTCGGATATGGTATGCTGTAAAATAAGCACCCGAAGCAGACGGACCAGATCTTATCTCAATTCTCTGGTTTCTTCCAAACCCTTCCTTGCAAGCCCAAGGACTTCAACAGCCGCCTTCCTCCTCTCCTCGATTTCACCTCCAAGTGCATCTTCCCACCAACGCTGGCCCTCGGGAACATTACGCCAGCCACCCTTCAAGAATTCACGGAATGTGCGCATGCTTCCGGTCGGAGCAAGTCGCAAAGACTGAGAAAGAGCCCAGGTAGGAGGAGGATTCGCGCGAGAGTACGAATTGACAGGCGAGCTCGCAGTTGGAGACGAAGTGGAGGGCGATGGATCAGAAGATCCAGCTGATGGAGGGCGGGAGAAACCTTCAGCCGCGATGATAACACCAGGAGGAACGGTGATGCGGCCTTGCTTGAAACACATTGTTGAGATAGACACGCAGTGCAAAGTTGCGCCGTCGGGTTCTTCCGTACGCTGGAGGACGTTCATGACAGCTACGTTATCCGCCGACGGAACAGAAGCTAGCCCAGCTGGTGTATTGGGAAGTGGCGTACCAAGCTCGTCTGCGTTGACAGGAGTATGCAGTGAAGCTTGAAGGGTACTGCTCATGCTACCTGGGGGCGGAGATGGAGTTGGTGACTCTTGCCTGTCAGATGAACGACCTTTCTTTTGAGACTTTGAGACAAATCGGCAAATGACATAGATCTGTAGACTCTATTCAGCACCTTTCCACGAATAGGCACGAAATTTAAAGAATAAACCAACCCATTTATTATCCCATCCTCCTATGGTGACTCTGACTTCATATCTCGCAAACATGGGGATCTCACGAATGAAATGGTAATGTGTGGCTAATAACGAAAAATATGTGCATATGCCGGGAGGATACAGATGTTTTAGAATGCTTACCACCTAAAGCCATCCATCCCCCACTTCGAAAGAATGCTGGGAAACTGGCAAGGGCTGTTTTGAAACGAGCGGCATCTAGAGTCTGGATTTAAAAGGACGTAAATAAATATCATAATTTTGCAATCCAAAGTGTATTGGCGTACTTTTGCATAGCTAGAGTTGCTGAGATGTCCATTGAAGTCAGACTCGTCCAAACCTGTTCGGAGGGCATTTAGCACGTGCTATACGAAAGAGGCTACAATATTAACGAAGTACTTACTTGCCCACGTCTTATACACAGTCGTCATTTCAAATGGGTGTGCGCCCACTGGGGACAGCGACTCTGCCCAGTCATTGGATGCCTTTACTTTGACTTCCTTTGAGCTGAACAACAGGTGTAGGCGAAGAAGATAGTATTGCAGTCGCAGATACACGACAGGGCGGAAGATGCGAACTAAGGAGATATTGCGATTATGTAGGGATATTGTAGTAGACAGCGTTTAATGGAAGAACTAAACAACATAGTCAACACGTACCGTGCCAGGCGAGCGGTAACGAACGAGCGTTTACGAGAAGCAGAAGGAAGAAAACGTATTTGAGACCACGACGCAAAGACTTGAGAATAGAGGGTGCTACAGCTTTGGCGTAAGCAAGTTGGACCTGTACTGGGATGGGAGGGATTTTCCAAGCTGAGAGGTTAGCTGGCATAACGAAATTTGGGGTATGGGGGAAGGTCAGATAAAAGAGCGTCTTTAAAGTGAGTCTTCGTTGGAGATAAGCATATAAAGGGTGCTGATACGAGGGATGACCGTACAAGACCGAGCACTAGTATATTTGAGCTTGATTATACTTCGGCTGCTATATCGGGTCTTGCAATTCATTACCCGGAACCGCGCTCAACTCTTATGTCGAAAATTGTCATGAGACTTTCTTTGCTTGCTCTCCAATCCATCATCACTGCCAATCCGAATTACAGCGACATGATCTATGGTTCTTAGCATCCGCTGTCCTGCCAATGTCAACAACTTGCGATAATATTAATCATAGGCGGCGCTACGACACAACAGCGATAACCGCCCACGCTAACTTTCCCCCAAGATTGCATACCCTGGGGTTGTTTATCTCTATCTTCCCATGATGCATCGGTGATCACGACATAGATCAAATCTCCGGGTTACAAGAATGAAACACGATTTTTTTTTTGGTGAGTTTCGTTACTGGCGCACTGATTTACACCTCGGCCTATGTGACATTGTGCCCGAGACCATTCACTACTGTATTCAGTTTCCTCGTTCGTTGTAATCTGGACTTCAACCGTCGTCCAGTCGATGATGGCCATAAGCAACAATGACCTTAACGGTATAAGATTCTCAAATGAGGTCACGTCTATGTTTCCAACCCGATGTCAAAACTCCATCTCATGCCCACCCCAAAGGTAATACAGCTCTTCTACCAATATTCGTGAGCTCCATCATGATCAGTTTCAGCAATGAGACCATGACTATGCAACTATGAGTTCACGCCTCACAGCACGCCGACACTTTCCACTTTCATTCGACACATCCAAGTTATGTGATATTCCATACCAAAGACGAGCTTTTCATTAGCAGAACTACAATTCCGGTCAGAACGTAGTCCAAGACTCCACATCTCGACGCATCAATCTTGTGGAAAAATGCGATTTTGGCTTAGCATTCCCGCTACCAGCTAAAGGCCATCAAAGGGACTCCAAACAAAAGCAACCTCGCCCCCGCTCACGAGGCCAGCATGTTCATGATTCAGATAAAACCACTCCTTTACATAAGAAAAAAGTGCAACCACTCCACTGCATTAAACAATTCGGACGTTATACGACTCCGTATCAGCTGACGATCCAACAAAATCTCACATACTAAAATCTCACACTCCGCGACAACGCCGGATGGATGGTGAAGCAATTGATATCTATTATTCCTTGCTAAATGCAAACGTACCAAATACAAAATGGAGGGATACAAATCCACTTCTTCAACAAGGCAAGATGTCAAGAAACAAGAGCAGCGAATCAAATAAGATAGGACAAATGGTGATGAAACAGAAAAGTGGTCCAGTGAGATTTGGCAAGAATAAAAAGAAAAAAGGTCCGCAAGATGATAAAAAAAAGTACAAGACGATAAGATCACTTCAATCCACATGTCCTATCGTCCAAAATATGTATGTATATATAGTAGTATCATAGAGAAGTAGGCTCGTCAATGTCAGGTTTAAACCGCAGTCGAGCTAATAAAAGCGTATCCCATTTGTTTTTGGGTCCAATCCTCGAGATCTTGCTAGCTGATAATGCTTTACCTGGAATTTCCTCGGGGTATGACGGTCCCCCATAGTCTCGGGGGAACTCGGTATCCGTAGTAAATGTGCCCCAGTCACGACCGTTCTTGGGATTCGAAAAGACGTTGAAATGGGCCTGAGAGCATGTCGAGTTAGTTACGCGCACAAACGTATGTAATAAAAGCAACTCGTACCTGACCATCCGGATGGCTATGGCTGACGAACAACGCGTAATCAGGGGCATCCAATGTTCCTATCACTGTAAAAATACGAATTGCGAAAATACAAGATCAACCAATCAGATAAAATAGGCACATGATAAATAGGGAGTTGGCGTACCCAAGAATAAATCCTCCTTCTGAATGGGATGATGTGGTCCGTAGTGCTGCATGATAGAATCTACATTGGCCTTGAACCATTTCTTGGGGGCATCCAAGTTCTCAATGTAATAATACATCGTCGTCTCTGCGCAGATATGGGCCGTCTTATGTCCGGCCCGCAGTGGGAACGAGTACCGCCGACTGACACTCTCACTAACGACCGAAAAACAAAGAGTAATTTGATGAGCAAAAGCAACTTTGTAAATCATTCTGCTACTCACGAGTAAGACCGATCCCCTTTCAGCTTGAACGTCAAAAATCCAGCCAATGCATCCAAAAATCCCCTCTGGGCCGCGTTACGTTTGTCAGACCGCTGGTTACCAGTGGAGACACGACCGTAGCCGTACAAAGAAGGCATATCCTTGAGAACGCCATTCGACGTCTTGACAGGATTCAGCGAGTTGAACAACGTCACAAACTCTCCGTTAGGCTTTGACAAATACCCCACGGCGCCAAGCGCAACGTGACTAGGGGCCCAGAGCGGTAAAGTCACTTGATGAAGTAATGCACACGATTGAGATCCACACGTCAGCAAAATGCGCATGAATGTTCAAAAAAGTAAAAATACATACAGGAATGATGGAACTCGTGCGTGCTCTTCGCCAATAACCGATATCGCCTTTCATTCCTCGACTCTGCAAGTCTCTCATCAAGAGGCGGCGGCGAATCATACCCCGCATAATCCACTCCTGCTCCCACCGCACCGCCCAACGTCATGCCCGACAGCCGTCGGCCCATCGCATCTATCCCCACATGCAGATCTTCCATACTTGCATGCGGACTCGACGTGAACAGTGAGGACGAACGGCTGCTCGAGAGCGATGCAGGCGCAGAGGGGGACGGCGTGTAAATCACAGGCTGGGGCATATCCATCGCACTCGTCTCCACATCCTCCTCTGACTCGGGGAGCGAGTGCCGGCGACGCCGCGGGGAGTGTATGATCGGGTGGAAGGGTATGGGGTGGCTATGGTCTGATGAGGATGATGGCGAGTCTTGAGGCATGGTGTCGTCTTGCTCCTCGCCTTCGTTCATTATCTCCGATGCGGTCTTGTAAGACTTGTCAGATTCACCGGAAGAATGCGGCGATTCTTGGTCCGAAATAGCTGGTTCTGGAGGAGGAACTCCTATATACCAAATGAAGTCGTGGCACGAGGTAAAAAGGAAAACAGACAGAAAAAAAGACGGACCAACGACAAAATCAAAAATAGACAAAGGACCACGTCACAGAAGCAACGAATATCAAGCGATAGAAGCACGGAGTTTACGCAACAAAAATACAGCAAGCAAATTACACACAAGTTAAACAAAGCAATCCAATCAGCTAACCATTCCCTACAGCTTAATTTTAAAAAAGACTGACCAGTCTGAACATCAGGCAACCCCATCTTGGGACGCAAATCAGGAGACTCGCGCAGCCTTGTCGGCAAATCCGCCCACACCTCCAACGTAGCCGGACGAGGACTCTCCTCCGGTCTCCTGCGCAGCGCCTTGAGCTGACTCGCGATTCTCCCAAACACCGGACGCAGCTTTGGGTCACGGACCCAGGCTGCGTTAATGAGCGGCGCGGTAGATGTGGTGTACCGCGTGATGGGCAGTATCGGACGTTTGTTTTCGGCTGTAAATAGATAGTTATGACATGTGTAAATTAGACAATTGGTTATAAAATGCAGAAAGCTTACACATGACGAGATGGGCAACCATGGCATCGTCGATATGAGCCCAGGGAAGATCGCCCATGCCCAATATCTCAACGCAGCAAATAGCGAACGCGTACACATCAACACCCGTCGTGAGCCTATTTTCACCTTCAAGTAGCTCAGGGGCTTGCCAGCGCAGAGTCCCATCTGCATACAACACCAGCATCAGCCAACACAATCACAATAATAAATCGAGGGAAACGTGAACTTACGAGGCAAAGGCGTCCCACTCAACCTATACGCCTCCGACTTCATCTCGCTCTGCCCGAAATCAGAAATAACACACCGTCCACTCTCATCAACGAGCACGTTCGAAGCCTTGAGGTCACCATGCAACACACCCCTCGAGTGCAGATACTCCATCCCTTTCGCAATCTGATGCATACACCTCACCAAATCAACCTCGTCCGACCCACCCCCGTTCCCTCCACCTCCTCCAGGGCTCTTGAGGCTCCCAGTACTAACCACTCTCCCTCTTCCCATCCCCACGCTTGGAATCATCCCAAGCCCTACGCCTCCGGTAGGACTGGCACCGAGACTTACAGACGACCCCGCTACAACCCTCCTCGCCTTCAACCACCCAACCAGACTCCCGCCTTTACAGTACCGACTGACAAAGAACCACGGCGGATCGCCCGCAGCGCTGCTAGCTCCGTACAACCTCAGCACGTTGCTGTGCTTCAGGTCTTTCCAGATTGAAATCTCGCGGATGAACAGTGAGCGGGGTGTAGCGGGCGACAAGACCTTGATGGCTACGACATGATTGCGCCACTGTCCCAGATAGACGTCTGAGAAGAAGCCGAGACCAATTTTTTGAACACGGTCGACTTCGTAACTGGCAAAAAACAAAAACAAATCACAAAATCAGCAAATAACCCAATAAAAACCAACAACCCAAAACCCACCGCGTAATCGTCCAACTAGGCAAATCCCACCCAACCTCATCCACCCTGCCCACACCCCCAGTCCCACTATACACGCCAACAGTGCTCAACCTCGTCATCGCATCAATCCCACTCTCCATAAACTCCCTATCGAGCGTGTCCCCCCGGGGCCTTCTCATCGACGCACTCCTCTCCACACTCGCATCCACGCCTACGGCTACGTCGACGCTGCGGGGTTCAGCTCCCTCTGCCACTGCAATGGCCCCAATAGTGCCCTCGCCCTCCCCTTCGCCCGCTTCCAACACTCTCCTCAACGTCCTGATCGCCTCTGGCATCTCACTCCTCCCCACCTGCAACCTCTCAATCATCCCAGCATCGCTCTCAGCACTCAATGCCTCCCGCAACAGCGCGCGCAAATCGGCAGTGTCCCGCGCGGCGTCGTACAAGTTCTGAGTCGTGCGAAGGTGTTCGAGATGCGCGAGGGGCTCGAGCTCGGGTGCGGTGAAACCTTCGTTTGGAATACCTGGAAACTGTGCCGCAGGCCCTGGCCTCGGTGTCACTGAAGACTCCCCCGACGCGTTCTGGCTGTACACGGGCGGCGGGGACATCGGCATCGACATCTGCTCATGACTGGGGTCGCGTTCGTGATCGGTGGTGACGATGACAGGGGTATCGACGCCGAATAGTAACGAGCCTCCGCCTTGTCCCTGTTCATACTGCTGTGCCTGTTGACTTTCGGGGAGTAGCAGACGCTGACGCGGGTCGAATGGTTGTCCTTGTATACCTTCGTAGAAGGAAATGAATAGTCAGCATCACCTCACAAAACATGAGGCACGAAAAAACTCACCACTCACAACCGGCACACCCCACGCAGCCGCCCATCTCCTCTGCTCCTCAGCAGCCTTCATCACCTGCTTCAGAATTCGCGTTTGGATTGATATCTGCATTGTCAAACGAGGGATGACAAAATCCAAGACAAGTAGAGACAAAACGACTCAGCACGGAGGGTAAGTCACGAAAGGAACCACACTACTCACCCCAAATAACCCAATTACATCTCCCAGCACCCTATCACACGCCGCAATCTCCTGCAGAATCTCATCCCTCTTTAAGTAGCGCTTCAGAAAGGGGCGGTGGAGCTGGCGAGAGAGGAATTCGTGGATGTAGTGAAGCGCACTATTTTAACGTGTATGAGGAGAGGTGGGGTTGACGAGTTGGGTTTGCGTTTTTAACGAACGTAGGAAAAATGCCATGGATAAAACAATAAAATATGAAATCAGCACTCCTTCTTTGATTACCAAAAAACCACTTACTCAACAAGCGCACCCACAGGCCCCCTCAACTCCTCCCCCACAATATCTCCAGCTTCGTACACCTCCTCTCGTACACTGAACAAGAGCGTCGCACAGCGGGAGGTGATGCGCAAACATGCCAGTCGGTTCATCTATTACCAAAAAGGGTTAGTATCGTGGTTTCCGAGATGAAATTCGGAAACAAGGAGGTCAAACTCACATCAACCATCTGAACCCCCTCCCACACCGCCAGCAACGCCTTGGCAGCCTCCTCCAAACCAGGGATAGGCGCAAACTTCAACGCATCAGCGCCCAACGACAGTGCCTCGTGGGTGATATCAGCTGCGGTGTGGGCTATGGAGGAGAGGTGGGGGTGGGAGGTAGAGATCGATGTGTAGTGGTGATGCGGGGGTGAGATGGAGGAGGGGGAGAGGGAGGGAAGAAGGTGAGGGGCAGAGGGGAGAGATGCGAGTGTGGTGGGTGGGAGGATGGAGGATAGTGCTTGGGCTACGTGCTGCACAAATCGATGAGTCAGTAACTAATCACGTTCAAGATGAAAAGAGCAGACAGTCGACCAATCGAGGCTGCAAGGTGGAAAGAAAGAACGTACATCACGGGTGACGATCCAGCCCTCCGTCTGTTCCTGCTCCACCTTTGAGTGAGCCTGCAAAAATGCACCAAAAGCACCATGCGCCGCATGACCGCCCTCGTACGCGTCTGCGGCGTCCTCTTCAAGGTCAAGCTGCTTCTTTGACTTTGCAGGGGATTTATGGGCCGACGGAGGAGATGACTGGGTTCGTTCGATGGAGGTCTCCTTGTCACGCTCGCGGGCTGCGGAAGAAGAAGCGCGACGACGTGCGAGCCAACTGCCTCCCGACGAGGAGGAAGAAGGCGACTTGGTCTTGTCCTTGTCCTTGTCCTTGTCCTTGTCCTTCTTTTCCTTTCCACCTTCTGACGAGTCCTTGTCGCGGGTCAAGAAAGAGATATGACCACGGGGGCTAAAACCCCCTCGCTGCATGCCCTTCTCAGTGGTTGTGGCTCCATCGACGCTCGCCCTGCGTTTCTCGGTTACTTGTGCAACGTCGAGGGAGGTGGGAGAGGTAGGACTGGGAGAAGATTTGGGGGAGGATTGGGCCCAGAGGGGAGTAGGTGTGGGGAGGACGCCTTCTGATCTTCTCCTCTCCTTCACTTCAGCGGCGTCGGTAAGAGGATTGGGGGAAGGGACATTAGCAAGGTCGCCCCATGTGCGGGCAGGCCATTGATCCCATTCTGTGCCCCACCAGCGAGTGCTGAATGCGCCTGGAGGGGTTGCGTCGCCGGGGAGGTGTGGTGGGGGGAGTGAGATGGGACCTGGGAGGAGAGCGAGA